TATGAAAAATAAGTAGTGTATTATTTCATTATTTGTCTATCCAAAAAAAGCACGATTAATTTATTTTAAGTTTAAAGAAGACGTGAATTGAATTGATAAAGATAATGAAATATACAAACAAGCAAAACTGTAAATAAGAAATTATAAACCAAGACAAATTGACTAAATTTAATAATATTCAAGAATTTAGTAATGCGCAATGTGATGATTCTATTGTTTTTATAAGGGAAAATAAGAAAAACTCCTCTAAATTAGATATATTAGTACTTAAACTATACGGGCGTTTAAGTAACTCATTATCATCTTTGAAGTGATTTTTTTTCCACCCTGAGACTGTAACACTACTCTTATCCGTCACATCATAGTCACGTAAGCGTCATGTCATAACCATGCAGATACCACATCATTAACTTTTAGTTCTTTGTTACTTATTCACTATTTTTTATTAAATACATTTTAATATTAATTATATCAATTAATTAATTTATAAATGTATATCCCCACCCCCTCTATTTCTTCTTTCTTGTTGTTCATCAATTCAACCTTCGGTAGTTACTATTCTTCTATAATATTCAACAATTTTTTTAATTAATTTGAATGAAAAAATTCACTATAATATTCACATTATCTTTCTTGAACCCATCCCACACATTTACCAAATTAAAAGGGGACCAATTAATTTTTATATACATCGAAATAAAAATATTACATATTTTTTGGAGAGATAATATATCAAGAAAAACTATTTAAATGTTAATTATATATTGACCAGTAAAAAGAAGTCATGTGTAGGACTTTAAAAAGATTCAGCTTTTTTTTCTTTTTTTACGCACTTTAAGGAGAGTACACTTACTCTCCATGCCACGTCATCCCTTAGGGGTGTTTAAATCACTTGAAAAATGTTAAGAGGTATTCAAACGCCTGTATAGTTTAAGGGTTAAAGTTTATTATGTATTTTCCCTTTTTATAAATATTAATTTTCAAGATTTCATAACCGCAAATTATATATATCTTTTCAATTCATGTTAAATAATTAACTAAATGACATTTATAAGTAAAAATAGTAATGTTCGATATTGTCTCCGAGGTTCTTTCATAACGGCTAGTGTATGTTGATGATTCTGCCACCGAGCGCTCAAAATGTGGTTCGGTTGCTTTCATTGTAATAGTTTTGATTTTTTTTAATCTACTGTTTTGTCCTCTCAATACTGACCACGAGTCTTTTATTTTTGAGTTTTAAAATTTTTATTTTAAATTTGAATTAAAAGTTGAGAATTTGGTAATTTGTGCTTTTGAAAGACCAAGTTGTTTAAAAGTGATTTTTGGAGTCTTATGGAGTTTCGAGTGTCCAAATGAAATTTGTCGATTCCATCAGTTTCAAAAGGTGAAATATGATACGTGAGAGTTATCAGTTTCAGAGTCCATTTTTTTTAGGATTTAAGGCCCTAAGTTGTGAATTTGTGAAAATTTAGCCTTTGATTTGACTTTTGTCAACATTTGAAGTTCAGATGCTCGAATAGAGTTCCATAGAATTCGGGATGATTTTAGTCCTAGATGAGGTCTTGAATAATTTTTGAGAAGTTTTGAACTTGTTTTAGCCTTTTAAGATTGGTTTCTTGTGATTTCACAGATGGAGAGTCAAGGAGACCTCAAATTCATGTTTTGATGATTTAAATAAGTCCAGAACGTTGAGTATAATTGATTTGCATATGTGATTTGTGTATACGAGATTTCGAATGAATCCCAAAGCTCCATTTAAAAGATTTGTGACTTGTCTATTTTTTTTGTTCTGATTCTGGTGCATGACCATTTTAAGCATCGCAATAGCGCGGCTCCCTCGTCACGATCGTGTAGCACTAATTTGAGGTACATCATGATCGCATGGGTCTTGTCGCGACACGATGGTCAATTTTACACTTTGTTTGGATCATTGTTACCCATTGTTTTATAATGTATAGTATTGTATTGTATTGTATGGTAGATACAATGTTTGGCTAGATTGTATTGTTTGTTGTTGTTTAGTAATATTTTAATTGTTTAGTATGATTTTATCGTACTATATTGTAATTTATAAATTTACTTAAATATCCATAATTATTCTACGGTAGGAGGTTTGACTAGATTTAAATAATTAAAGTAAAGGGTAAAATAGTATTTTGAAACATTATGTAAAGATATAATTGAAAAAAAAATAACAATGCGAACACACCAAATTGGTTGTTCCATAAAATAGGGGTTCCCATTGTTACGTAACAACGAAATTTAACAATACAGTACAATACATTTTAAGTATTAATCAAAACAAACATTGTATGTATAATAACAATACAATACAATATAATGAATAACAATAATCCAAATATAGTGTTAACGAGTTGATTGTCTGTACTCATCACAATCATGTGACCCGAGTCACGATTGCGATGAAAAATTGAGACCTATGGAAAATGCTCTTCTAAAATTGAGGTTTCAATCCCAGTTCACCATTTTTGAGTTTTAGGAGCTTTGGGATGGCAATTTAAAGCAGGTTTTCGAAGAAAATTATTTGGGTAACTATTCTTAACTCTAAATCTCTATTACCCATTATTATTTATGGATTTATGTGCTCACAAGAAGCTTTTGAAATGACAAATTTAAGGTTATCTTCAAGAACTTAGTAAAATGGTGATATTGAACTACTTTTGAGTCCTTTTTTGAAATGATATTTCCTAATAAGTTCCTAGATTCTTAAGTAATGTTTTCAAGTATTAAATTTTGAATTCAAATCTTATTTTGGAATTGTCTTTTATATTGATTGACCCTACTTTTCAAGAGAACTGATGTGGGTATTGTTGTTTCTGAAAAATGATTATGAATACTTGCTTGTTTATAGATTGTGTGGCTTTAAAAGTGATTCGAAGGAGAAGACTCAACTCTTGGAGTGATTATTGATTTATTTAAGACAACTAATCTCCTAAACCTTATATTTTAGTAGATTTTATATACTTCTGTCATTAGCTATTATGTTAGGAGTAATGAGAATGAGGTGAAGGATTTAATTGTCCACTTGATATATCTATATGAATAAAAAGAAGTTGAAATGAAAATGGATACATGATGAACATGATTATCCAAACTGCTTTATTGTGACCCTTGTTGATTCATTGATGAAATAATTGAAAGTATGAATGTGGACTTGAATTGTGTGAATTCCTAACTCTTCTGTGTGGTGTGTTAATTGCTTGTATTGCATTGATTGTGGACACTGTGATGAGACATGCTCTGATTTATGATATGGGGGTCTTTACAGGTGAGTGTTATGATGTCGAGATTTTTATCGACGAGTGTAGTGATGTCGAGGTCATTTTCGACAAGTGTTTATAAACCCGATAAAAAATGATTCCGTATAGTAATTTCATATAAAGCCAATGGGAAATGGTTCTGGCTAGTGAGTTGATATAAAGCCAATGGAAAATGATTCTAACTAATGATATTTTACCGATGAAAAATAATTTTGACAAGAAACAGATTATTGTGACTTGATGTATTTGAACTTATGCGTGACTTTCTTGCGAATTGTGATTTATGTACTTTTTGCTTGTGACTAAACTATTTGACATTGAGAATGACTTGCTTGATTTGTTTGATTGTTGATTGTGACTATTGAATTGTGGATATTGGGCCGTGTGAGCCGTGTATTGTAAAACCCCTAGGTTGGGCTGACATATGTGCAGGTTGTAGTTTTAGGAGCTTCGGTTGGAGTGTAAGGGATATTAGTTTTCTAACTAGATTTCTTGTTTATGAGGTTGCTTATAGGGTACTGTGTTGTTGGTATTCGCCTTTTGCTTCTACACCTATGTAGTTTCTAAGCCCAGGCTCGTGCGAGCTTCTTTTTCTCCTGAAATTCGAGCCTCGTTGAAGGACTTGAGATGTAGTTGTGTGTCATCCTGGCGGATCCTTTTTTTCTTTTCTTTTTTTTATGCTTTTTTCTATTTTTAGAAACAACGACTGAGACTTGTATTTATCTTTCGAATTTTATATGTTCATTAGTGGCTTGTATACGTGACAACCAGATCAGGGGCATTGTTTAGAATGAATAAGGTTTCCGCCTTTGTCTTGTTCTTTCTTTAATTTATAATTCTGTTTTTTTCGTTTTCGTTGGGTTGAGGCTGACTTGTCTTGGTGAGAATAAACAAGTGTTATCAAGTCCATTTTTGAATCGTGGCATTGGACTAAAGTTGGAGAGATTTAAATGGCTTAATTAGAAATTGGATGGAGTCATGATTTGTCCAAATTTGATTTAGACTAAAAATGAGTCAGGCTCAAATTGACTAAAAATTAGGTTGAATCATGACCTGTCCAACTTGATCCTTTTAATCTCAAGAATTTAACATATTTTTATTTTATTTTTGTAAACAATTTGAATTACTATTCAAGACATTAAAATAAATAAGTTATTGATTTTGAAGTGGAAAGTCACTGAAAACATTATACTAACCAAATAAACATATATTCAAGATGACACACTCAACATGTATTTTGTCGGGGAAAAAATGCAATTTAATTTCGTTTCAATCATTTTGGTCTCATAAAAGGAAAATTTTAATTTTCAAAATAGAAAAAATGGATAGATAAATACCTACAAAATATATAAATATATAGTAATTCATACATTTGATATGAGAACATATGTTGCATCAATTCATTATTTACAAATAAAAAGTCTTAAAACGAAAAAAAAAGGTCTTTTATTTATTATTTAAAAAAAAATTTATCTCCTAGTACTTTTTCTCTATATAACAATCTTTACATTATGATTCATGTAAATATATATTAACTAAATAATTAACCACACGATCCATAAGATCAAAAGAGAGATTAAGGGGAGGTTAAATTTTTTCTAAAATTTTAAGGTTAAGAAATAAACAAATTGTTGACCAAAGACAGTTGTTCAAACTTGAAGCATTTGCTCCAAATACATCGGAAGATAAAACGCAATTTTTGTGACATAACATTTCATCTCTTTCTCAATTTACATAACAAGCTTTATTTTTATTTTTTAGAAAATGAATACAGAGTAATGAAGAAAATACAAAGATAAGTAAATCACACGAAAAAAAGATAATGGATACTTGTAAAAAAGAAAAATCGAAGGAGAAAAGAGAAAAGAGAAGCCAAGAGATTTCTCTTTTACGTACTATTCCTTATTCCGAACATCGAAAGTGAGTTTCCATTTCGTTTACATTTATCCTTTCCTTCTTTGTATTTGGATTGAATTCAGAATTTTAAAGTAATGACGTATTAATAAGTGATCAAATTAGAATTTTCATTAACATGATTAAGATCTATATATGTATAAAATTTATTAATCATTGTGTACTACTTTACCTATATAAATTTATGTGGCATTTTTTGTTTTTACGAGAGTCAAGCAGTTTAAGTTTGATAAAAAATTTACGCATGAAATTTTAAATTTTTTAAAAATGAAACTTATATTTTTGTAAACTATATAAAAACACTATTCATTCTATCTCTAATTACTTGTCAACTTTTGAATTGACACACCTATTAAAATAACAATGATCGACATAGTGAGTTTACCATTTTATCTCTATTAATTATAACATGGGTGAACTAAAAACTTAAGATTTTCAAGAAGTTCTATAAGTAATTAATCGAGGGTATAATAGGTAAAAAAGTTTTTTTTTTGTCATTTCTTGATTTGTTAGGGACAACTTAAAAATGAAAAGTGGAAAAGTAATTAGCGACTGAGGGAGTATTAGTCATAATAATTGACAATTCAAAATAGTTAAAGAAAGATAGATTTGTTTGAATCTCGAAATTCAAAAATGTCACATAAATTGAGACAGAGGGAGTACAGAACATATGACTCAAAAATATATACTCCCTCCGTTTCAAAAAGAATGTCTTTCCTTTTTAGTCTATTTCAAAAAGAATGACTCTTACTTTTTTTGTTAATAACTTTCCACGTGGCATGTTTAAGACCACAAGATTAAAGGGTAATTTTGTACATTTGACATAACTTTAATTTAGGACCGCACCATAAAGAATCTTCTTTATTTTCTTAAACTCTGTGTCAAGTCAAACTAGGTCATTCTTTGTGAAACGGATGGATGAAGTAGTATATATGTGCATGGTTTATTGATAGCATATACTACTAATCCAGAGGAATGAAAGATTAATTAGAGATTTTTCGTGTGAAATAATTTTTCAGTAACTTTATTATATGTTTTAATTTGAGTCCAGGGGCGGATCTAGGTAACTTTTTGACAAATTTAATATATCTATATTGTCAAAATTGTTGAATATATGTTGAGAACCCATATAGGATGTTGATTTTCGAGCTAAAACTAAATATATAGACGATGAATGATTTTCAGATGGTGGTCATCTGAAACAGTTGCTGTTGTGACGGGCGCGAATAGAGGGATTGGATTTGAGATTGCTCACCAATTAGCATCACATGGATTAACAGTAGTTCTTACTTCACGAGAGACTGGAGTTGGTGAAGAAGCAGTGAAAGTAATGCAGGAAGGAGGTTTAAATGTTGCATTTCATCAACTAGATATCGTTGATCATGCATCCATTGAAGCATTTTCTGATTGGATCAAAGAAACATATGGTGGCTTAGATATACTGGTATTTTACACTTATTTTATATGACTTGATACAGAAAAAAAGACTTTTGAAATTTGTGATCTGACAGATATAAAATGAGCATTTTAAACTTAGATTGTTACTAAATATATATAGAAATGTGACATCCCGGGGGGAGTATTCAGAAGGGGGAGCCGCGGGTTCTTTCTTTCCTCGTGGTTTGGTATGGGTGAATGGCACTAAAGGAAACTTGTTATTGATATATGCATACATTCTTTTCTAGCCGGAGATAGAAGAAGAGATAAAAGAAAGATATGAAATTTCAATCAAGATTCTTTTTGCTAGCCGATTCCTTCTTTTAGGAACTGACTAACACGGAAAGTGAATCATATAAACTGGGACAGAGGAAAGTACTATTATTTAACTAGTGATTTTCAGTGTGAGTTTTTACTATTTTTGGCAAATATGGACATTTTCAGTTAATGATATATGTGTATGTAGATCAATAATGCAGGAGTGAGTTTCAATGTTGGTACAGAGAATTCAATGGAAAATGCTGACACTGTTATCGAAACGAACTACATTGGCACCAAAAATATGACAAAAGCGATGATTCCTTTGATGAGGTCGTCTCCTTATGGTGCTCGTATAGTTAGTGTAACCTCTCGATTGGGAAGACTACATGGAAAAAAGAATGTAAGTACGAACGAGCTTTCATTTTCTTCTTTTGACATCTCAAAATTGTTTACGTCTACATTTTACTTGATGTAACCAGAGAATTACGAATGCAAGCTTGAGACAGCAGTTGGAGGATGTTGATTCCCTAACAGAGGAAGTCATTGACAATGTTATGAAGATATTTTTGGAACAAGTAAAAGACGGTACGTGGGAGTCAGGGGGATGGCCTCAAGTGTTCACTGATTACTCAGTGTCAAAGGTTGCAGTGAATGCATATACTAGGCTAATGGCAAGGATACTCGAAGATCGTCCTGAGGGTCATAAGATTTACATCAATTGTTATTGTCCAGGTTGGGTGAAGACCGCGATGACTGGTTGGGCAGGGCATATATCTCCTGAAGATGCTGCTGATACTGCAGTCTGGCTTGCTCTTCTCCCTGACCAGTTTGTAAGTGGTAAGTTTTTTACTGAAAGGCGCGAGATAAGCTTTTAAGGTGGAAACTGAAAGGTCATTCCAGATAGATATTGTTCGACAGTCATTACATTGCTATCTGTCTTTACCAGTTGGTGTGAAAAAAGAGAAGCGGAGATGCCCTGGTGAGTAGGTGCGAGAGGTTGGAAGCGATAGTTGTTTGGAGAGGTAGATTTAGTCCGAAGAAGTATTGTGGGAAGGTAATTATATAGGCCATGATGCGTCTTGAAATTATCAAAGGACATGATCTTAGATATGAGGATTTAAAGATCACGAATTAGAGTAGAATGTTAGTTGGTAGTTGAACGTTGTATGGCTTTTCTGCCGGGGTAGGATAGGTGGTGGTAACAGTACCATCCGTCTTACCAGTAGTATTAGTATTATTCTTGTAGTTTCTTATTTATCGCACTAGTTCATTGTTGTTACTCTTCTTTCTCTGTAACTTATGTACTGCTTTTCATTGAGCTACATTTTTTTTGTTGTTACTAACTTTCATTTTCATGCTCTCTTTCTCAAACTGCTTCTGAGATGCTTTACTTAGGCCAAAGGTCTATTCGAAATAAACCCTCTATCTGGATAAGTTCAGTGTAATTATATCCTCCTTAGACCTCACTTCTGAGATAAACCTATATAATATGATTATTATTGTTGTACGTATTGTTCTTCAGTGTGATACCACATTGGCCATCGCAATCACAATAAACACTGCACCAACAGAAAAAGTCGCCTTATCGAAATGATTAAGGTGTAACATAGCCTTGGTATTGTGACACTAAATGGGGAAGTAACACAACGTGTAATGAGTTTATAACACAATGTTAGTGCCACACATGCCTTTAGTGTACATTAGGGAACCAACATAGCTGTTTGTACAACAAACCATACAGCTCCAAAAATGAATGAGTAGTCTTCCAGAACTACAGCAAACCCTCCACCTTAAGATTTCGTAACATGTTGCATCCTGTCGATGTTGTTATCAACAAAAGATTCTTTACACTTCACATTAATTCCACACCTTTGACGAGGCATTAAGGTTGAAAAGCCAAGATTTAGTGATTGCAATCATATGTTTACCAAGGTTTTAGGTCACCAACTGGACCAGCAGTCCAGTTTAAGATCTTCTGCCCAGGAGTCAAGAAAACGGTTCTGTCATGTGGCAGTTTACGAGCAAGTCCATTCAAAATTTGATGGAAAGCATCACCTGATTGAGCAGGTTGTGGAAACAACATAGCCTGTTTCATTGAAGGGTTAGCAAGTAATCTCTGCTTCCTCAATATTTCCTCTGGTGGAATAGAAGTGAGAATAGTATCCAAATTTGGAACGTCCTTCTCGTCTACAAAAACACCAATCTCTTCCCAGGGGATTGCATCAGCAAATGGCAAGACAATATCATCTGCAATGATAACAGGGATGCATCCAAATATAACTGCTTCAACCAATCTTGGGCTCCATGGTGCCCACCCAAGTGGGCACAAGCAAAAGATGGCTCGTTGCATGTCCTCGTAGTAGGTAGTTGGATGCTCTGTGGAAATATCAAAGAGAGGATTGTCCTTAAAGTTCTCCCATACTGCTGCCCGGGCACCTCTGAAAAAATAAATAAGCATCAGGTACATTGTCATAAAGCATATTACTTGATTTTTTGGGAGGTCGACAGAGAAAATTAAAATGTTTCCCCTAACTTGAGATGGATTTTCAGCTTCACTATAGACTTTTGCGGGGTTCCTATTACCCATTTGAAATATTTTGAAATAGAATAATAAAATCACCCTAAACTCTGGCATCGCATAAATAATCAATTGAGTATTTGGTGGTGTTTTACAAGCGCTTCTACATATTATTTACATTAAAAACTTGTTTTTTCTTTCCTTTCTATATTAGACAATATATAAATACCCAACTTGTCATCTTTAATCTTCTACATTACACTTGAACTTTCCGGGGTAGGACTTGCTTTGGAATGGAATTACTACCACCCCAAGAGACTACTGCAGACACTGGTGGGGGTACTGAGGAAGAAAGGGTGGGTGGTGAAAAGATTTCTGGTGGATTTATGCTGGGCATAATTTGCAGTGAAGAAAAGTAACAGGTAGGAGGAGGAGCCAAGATAAGAAAAAGAACCAAAGAAAAGTAGAATTAAAACAAAGAAAGGTGAAACCTTTCTCATGAAAGAAATGTTGTTAAACAATTTACCTTTCCTCATTTCATGCACTTCTTTAGATGCTCACACTATCTATGCAACATGGGCTCAAAAAGTGGTATCAATATCACTTCTAACTAGTTTAGGGGTAATAGCAGAGGCATATCTAGAGTTTCAAGAGGATGGGTGCAGTGTACTACCATTTGATTTAATGCTATACAAAATTTCCATGACGACGACTTGACAAGTGAACTACAACTAATACAATTATCACAGAAAAGTATATATTATTTTACTTCAAATTATTCTTAACAATTTTGTATACTTTTAACTATCAGCATCATTATTTGAAGACAATCACAAACAAATAAAACAAAGTGAAGAAAAAGAAAATGGGAAATGTCTAACATACTTTTCAGCTATTTTTTATCCCCTGCCGTTTGGCAAGGTTCTAAATTTTCCCCTACTTTGACGGAGATGTCCCGTGGAGGCATCTAGTGAAAGAACTAACCCAACACTAAATTACCCATCAGGCTACGCCACTCCAAATTAATACACCCACACAAATTAAGAACCCCAAACAACGGAAGTTCCTTCCTCCAAAATATGAAATGACCAAATATGGCGGTCCTCAAAATTAGCACCAAATTCTTCCAACAGCCGTAGTTAATCTCCTTCGATTTAAGCACACACAACACCACAATCCAATTCTCAAGCAACAATGCTTAAAAATAATTCAAGATAGACAATACAAGCTTAAAGAACTCCAAGTGCGCACTGATATTAACAATCTCCATTCGCAAAAGCAATCATCGGATTAGGGCTCAATTTTCCAACAACAAAGACCTATCAAGTTCTTCAATCTTGAATTTCCAAACATAGAAGCACTAACAGAATTTCCCACACTTAGTTGCTCGAAATTTTTGACTCACAAAGTGAAGATACATTCTTTTAACCTCAAATCTGATTCAGCAAGGAACCCAACAGTTCTTTAATTTGTGAATCTTCTTTAACGATGATTCTACCAATGACCATCACCTTCTTCACTGATTCAGCCCAACCTCCACCATAACAAAGAAAGTTCAGGAAGATCTAAGGAATTGGGTTTCCAAAAGGGCCAATGAAATTTCTACTGATATTTCTAGAATTTGATGAATAGCTATTTATATTTCCTACAGAAACTCTAGTTGCCGATATTTCTGCTTTTTACCTCTTCCCAGTTGTTCTCTATTAGATGTACTTTTGAGAGGTCCAAAAGTTGTCTTTGAGAAATTAAAACAGATGAAGCAAGAACGGGGAAAGTCAACTTCTTTGTGAGTTCTGTGAAGTTGTTTTGGAAAAAAACCTAAAAGAAAACGAGGAAGATCATAAAGAGATCAGCAGCACAATTTTCAGTGATGGTGTTGTGTCCAGTGGTCCATCCCTCTGAAGCTTGTCTTTTGCTATTTTTGGTCATGGGTGTAAGTTATGCCACATTGGCATGTGTTTCAATGTGGAGTGGAAATCCGATGGGTTATGGGTTGGGGATGGGTAATTTAGTATTGGGTTGGTTCTTTCACTCAGGCGATGCCACGTGTCATTTCTGTCAAAGTAAGGCCAAAAAGTATAATGGGGGATAGATTTGAGCAATAATCGAAAGTTTAAGGGGTATTCAACCCATTTCCAAAAAGAAAAAGGAGCGAGACCAAAAAAAATTTCAAAAGCAAAAGTTCCTTTCAAGTTGTATGCTTTATTTGGTTAGTAGTACAGACTATGGAAAGCTCGCCTCACTTATGATAAACTTCAAATAGAAGGGGTTTTCAGCTATGTTCTAGGTGCTTTCTATGCCATCCGGAAGCTGAAAACAATGGGCATCTTTTCTTGCATTGTTCAATTACCAGACAACTATGGCAACATTTTGCAGCTCTTGCTCAATTTTTTTAGGTGATGCCCCAGAGTACTTCTGACATAATATGTGGTTGGAACAATATACAAGGAGAAACTTGTCGCAAAGAGTGCTGGAAGATTGTTCCAGCTTGCATATGGTGGAGAATTCGGATAGAAAGGAACGAAAGATGTTTTGAAGGCAGGGGCAGTTCAATCCAGACGATCAAGCGCTCCTGTATTTCTCTTCTTTATTTTGGTGTAAAGAACAGTAGATGATGTTGAATCATTACTAGACTTCTTGGCCTCTTTGTAAGTATTCTTCGGGCTGTATTCGTATATATGATATACCAGGCCTTTTCTAGGGCACTGACGAATATAATATGTTACCAATTTCAAAAAAAAAAAAAAAGAGACAATAAAATATATGAACTTTTGTCCATATATATGCTGTCATTGATATGGAGAGGAAGGAGAAGATAAAGATAGGATAATACATACAAATCCTGTTGTTTTTTAAAGAGATGGAGCAACAAAGAGGTTGAAAATACTGATTGAAATTGTCTCTAATTATTAAGCGTAGACCTTTAAATAGGCAACTTGAAAACATAATTTGCGAAAATCGGCATAACAAAAAATCAAAAAATAAAAATATCTCGACAAACTAAAAAATATTAATAGAAATTTTAAATTAAAAAAAGTAGATTCACCCTAAAACTAAGCAGCTTATTGTGCTAAAAAAACAGTAGTTGTAACTTAAGCAAATTTCAACACTCCTCCGCTTCAGTTGCAGCAATCTAAAAAAGTAGATCCTCAACTTATGTTTGTGCTTGAAGATTTGTTTTTAAACTTGCACACTTTCGTATCGTGGCATGTGCCCTATCCTTTAATTTATTCTTTCTCGACCTTACAATATTTTTACTTTTGTTCTTCTTCGTAAACAAAACAGACTGAATTTTCAATGGCTTCTTCCTAGGCCTTTCCTTTCCCTTCTTCTTTTTCTACTACTCTTTTCTTCCTCTCACTCTTCTCCGTCACAGAGAAATTGCTTTGTGTTGTTCCTATAAACTAAACCCCCCTTAAGAAGAATTAATCTGGGTTCAGCTTCCTTTTTTCATAAAGGAAAAAATGCATGGTTCACTAGTGGATGATGAAGGAACTTAAGGACAGAAGCTTTAGAGATAGAGAGGGTACCTATGTGATCTACTTGGAATTACAAATAGAAAGGGAGAGAGGATGAAGAGGGATGAAGGGATAACCAGAGAAGAGGAGAAGGGAATGACAAGGACTTTCTGGTGGTGGTTGTTCTTGCAGCAAAAGGTGTGGTTCGCCAGTGGATTTGTCAAAAAAGAAAAGGAACAAAAAATATTATTGTCAGTTGTAATGAAATTTAATAAGCTGCAAATAATTGTGATGGTTTGTACTTATTCTTTCCCCTCTCATACCTTTCAAAGAGAGAGAGCACACTTTTGTGCCGCGTCATGACTCAAGGGTGCATA